GTGCCTCCCTCTGGAGGACCCTAATCTTAGACCAGAGGATGGTCCTCCAACCCATCACGTGTGGGTCCCGTTTCTCCTTTTCCTCCGGCTGAGTTCTTGAAAAGCTTCTCGTTCCTCACCCAGGCCACCGATAACGACCTGTCCTTAGATTCTGCTCCTTCCTGCTCCTGGTTCTGTGATTACGTGTTGGCTTTTCTTTATTTCATCATTTCACTTTCTCTCCATTTTGTTGTTTTCTCTCACCGATGTTATCCTCCTTTTGTGGCTTCTTGCTCTTGTCCTAAAACAACCATATCTTTTTGAATCCTATTGAAGTTACCAAGCAGTTTTCTTTAATAAAACAAAACTACCTGTTTCTAGTAAAAGTTCATTTTCAAATGTCTGGTCTTCCTCAGAGTCTCCAGGGTAGAGTTGCCTTTCCCTTGTTTCACATTATTTTTCATAGGCTCTGGATCGGGGTCTTCTACTGGCTTGTTTGTTTCATTTTTATGTGCTGGGTTTTTACACTTGATCTTAGCCAAAAGGCTGAGAACAGATGTGTGCTGGGTTTTTTAAATCCATATTGGAACAAGGAAACTATATTCAAATAGTGTCAGGAAATAGACAAAATCTGCAAAAGGCCCGTGTGTCCTCCTGCTACTTGGACGCCAGTTGAACTCTGTGCTCATAATTCAACAGGAAGGCAGAGCAGTGTGCTGCACTTTGGTCCAATGGCTTATGTTGCTCAACTAGGTTAGCACTGCTGGTCTGAGATAGAGTTCTCTCCTGCTGCCTGCCTTCAGCACTTTACATTTTATTTTATTCATTCAGCAAATGTTCCCTGAGTGCTGCCCACCCCTAGCCGGGAAACGCTCTGTGTCCTGGGGTACAGGAGTGGGTAAGACCAGCACGTCCCTGCTGCCATGGAGCTCACATGCTCATTCTCAGGAGGCGGCAGTGACTGTGACCAGTGCCTGCTGCCTCCACTGCCTGTACAGTTGTTTTCTGAGAGCTGTCTTCACGGCTGAATGTAGAAAGAAAGAGTCAGGCCGATGACAAACAAAGGGCCAGTAGCAATCTAGCTGCCGTGGAGGGATGTCTGCCCTCATCTCCGGCTGGGGTAGGTTTCCAGCAAGGGCGGCATTTGCCCCAACTACATACGACAAGAAGCTCAACCAATGGCTCTTTCTAGTTCAGTTCTGTTGATCTTCGCCATTAATGAAAAGTCTTCTCAAATTCTGTCCTTAGTTTTAACTCTTAATGTTAGTTTTTAGTTATTTAGAGTTCTTCTGTCTTCATGGGTGTTCTTGGTAAAACATTCAGACAGGTATTTTCTACCACAGTGTTGGTATCATTTCAAACCTGGAGCGTTGATTATTCACTGTTGAGTTTGGGAGTGAATGTGGGCTATTTAATGCCCGTATCTAGTAGGAAGGCAGAGATGCAGCCCAGAGCCTTCAGAGAGCTGGCAGAGCTAGAGGCAGAGCCCTAGAGATCAGAGGAGAAGGGGCATGTGGATCCTCACGTGAAAGTTGATATGCTCTCCAATGATGAGAGGAAACCAGAGGGCCAAGACTGTGTTTTTAGAAATGTCAATATTTAGGGGACAAAAGGAGAAAAATAAGCGAATTCATTGATCTGTGTTGATTCTATTTTATTTTTACTCTCCTGTGAAAATTTATATATAAATAAATATCCCATCAGGTCTTGATTATCCACTTTGCTAAAAATGCATGATGACCTGGGATTTTTTTCCCGTCACAAACTGTCCCTATGTCTGGAGAGAAGTTGGAATCAGAGTCAGGTAAGGATTGAACCTCTAGTTCTTTAGGAAGTGTGTCTTGAGCACCTTTCTGAAATAGAACACATATACACCATTTGAGAATCCTGTTCTCTACCTAGCTACCATTATTTGAAAGCTTGACAAGTTGCAGGCACTGTGCTAAGTGCTTTACATGCATTGTCTCATTTAATCTCCATGACAATAGTGTGTGGTAAGTAACTGTTATTACACCCAATTTACAGTCAGAAAGTTGCCTATGACAGAAATTCTGTGATTTACCCAGTTACATAAGACAAGAGTGGCAGAGTCAGGATTTGGTGCTAGTCTAGTCACTAAGCCTGTTACCCTACATGAGTGCTCTACTGCATCTCGGATGTGCTCACGCATGCTGCGAGTGCGTGTGCACACACACACCCACACACGCACACGGCAACTGCATGAGTATATGAGGAACTATATATGTTAATGTTCAGGGATTTTTTTAAAATACATAGAATGAATTTTATTTGATTTCCATGCAAAAGAAGTGTCAGAGAGTTGCTTTGAACCCTATTGCTTATTCTAATACTCAAAACATATATCAGCTCTTTTCTTTTGGAAATATATTCAGAATTATTTTATCAAACAAATATTAGTTTCATGAATTGACAGTTATACCTTGTCTCTGACCAGAAAGTATGGAACATTCATTCACCAGATTTGTCTCCAGATGACTTTCAGTTATTATAAAAGATAATTTTTTCCCACTCCAATAAAAATTTCCCCCTATATGAATCTTAAAACAAAATAATGTAAGTTCCTTATGGTTCTATAACTATAGTACAGGAACAATGTATGCATCTATTAAAATTCAAATGAATGAACACCATATAGAAACATGGGAAATGCCATTATGTTAACATGAAAGGTGGAATGCGTACTATGCCTGCTTTATGTAAAAATACATATAGACAACTACAGGGACTGGAAAGTAATTTGCAAATATAAAAACAATTAGAATTATGAGGGATATTTCAAACTTTTTCAAAATGTTCTCAAGTATTTTACTATCTTAAAGCTGGTCTTTATGCTAATCAAAACCTCCCTCACTTTCTTATGCTCTAGACAACTCCGTTAAATGGACCAGTAGCCTGTGGATAGTAATCCGCAAGGAAAATCAAAGGTCTCTGCCAGTTCTTTGAGAATCACTAACTAACCCTGGTTAGGAGGTTCTCCTAACCCTGGAGGCAGCTATGATCATGGATTTGTGGAGGAGCTTCCAATGTTTTCTTTTAAACATTTGTATTGATTTCATAGAGGAAGAGAGAGGGAGGGAGAGGTAGAAACATCAATGGTGAGAGAGAATCATTGATCGGCTGCCTCCTGCATGCCCCACACTGGGGATCAAGCCTGCAACTGGGGCATGTGCCCTGACCAGGAATCGAATCCTTAACCTCCTGGTTCCTAGGTCGATGCTCAACCACTGAGCCATGCCAGCTGGGCCGAATATATGTTTTAACTTATATATGTATTGGTGCATAGAATTTTCATACATGCTTTTAAGATTTACATAAATGTCACTTTATAACAAAGCACCATAGCATTCTAGCAGATTTCCTTTGCTGTGGCTCTTTTGAAAGCTGTTATTTTCCTCTCAAATGTATAATTATTTAAATATTCAAGTTCACTTAAGGCTGCTGCTTTCACAGGGGGCATATTAAACTTCCTTGGTTAAGAAACTACAGCACTTTATTCACTGTATTATCAAATGTAAACTCCCCAGCCAGCATTAAAGTCTTCAAATCACCCATCTTCTCCCCTGGTAATACTTCAGTAAAGCTTTCCCCATCAAGACTTCTCTCTACTGGTTCCTTTTTCCCTTGTTTGACATACTCACCATGATCTAACACTTTACATATGGGATTAAAATAATTATAAATACAGTCCCTGTATTCTGATAATTTGTGTTTGATCTCTCTATTTTTTAATAAAATAAACTATTACAGATAAGATCCAGGTCTTTGTTCCTTTCCTCAGGCCCTTTCTTCCCCTCCTTCTCTGGAGGCAGCTATGATCATGGATTTGTGGAGGAGCTTCCAATGTTTTCTTTTAAACATTTGTATTGATTTCATAGAGGAAGAGAGAGGGAGGGAGAGGTAGAAACATCAATGGTGAGAGAGAATCATTGATCGGCTGCCTCCTGCATGCCCCACACTGGGGATCAAGCCTGCAACTGGGGCATGTGCCCTGACCAAACCCTGGAGGCAGCTATGATCATGGATTTGTGGAGGAGCTTCCAATGTTTTCTTTTAAACATTTGTATTGATTTCATAGAGGAAGAGAGAGGGAGGGAGAGGTAGAAACATCAATGGTGAGAGAGAATCATTGATCGGCTGCCTCCTGCATGCCCCACACTGGGGATCAAGCCTGCAACTGGGGCATGTGCCCTGACCAGGAATCGAATACTTAACCTCCTGGTTCCTAGGTCGATGCTCAACCACTGAGCCATGCCAGCTGGGCCGAATATATGTTTTAACTTATATATGTATTGGTGCATAGAATTTTCATACATGCTTTTAAGATTTACATAAATGTCATTGCTCTCTACCTCTTCTGCAACTTGTTTTTTCCATTCAACATTGTTTTTGAGATCCATCTACATTGTACTGATAGATTTTGATTTTATTCATTTATTTTAAGTTCCCTGCAGCATATTAATTGTCCTGTGATTGTTGCAATGTACTGGAAAACAAAAGAGCATATATTTCTAAAAGATCTTGAGTCACTCCCTGTGTGGCAGGAGGAAAACTCTCGCCTGCAGAGCCGTCTGCCATGTTTGATTTGAGGCGTGGGGTGGAGTGTCTTTCAAGTGTGAGCACAAGCTCTGAAGTAAGAAGCATCTGGTCCGGGCCAGGATAATGTGTGCTGACTGGGTGAGGGACCGGAGGGGATTTAAAATACAATTATGCTTAGAGCCTGTGCTATTTAAGATCCCATACCTCCCTCCCAGTGAGATCCTGTCCCACTGGCGTGGTTGACGGCTGTGTTCTGCTGCGGAAAAGAGAGAACTCAAGTAGCCTGACGTCTCTTTGGCGTTTGTCTGGTGCGCAGAGACAGACGCAGGTCCCAGCATCCCCTCTGTAGTGGGTGAGCGGTTGGTGACCACAGTGGAACAGGCACAGGAAATGCAGCTGCTTGCAGTATCGTTTCCGTGTAAGCAGGCGTCCTGCAGAGTTCTTCTATCTGTCTTCCATTAAAGGTCCACACACGTTCCTGTCGGGGAGGATCAAGTCCAGCACATGGAGCTAGTTCAGGATCTAGCACGAGGATTTAACAAGAAGTATGGGGAGTTCTTCCCGGTGCCCAAGTCCATTCTAAGTAAGTAACAAACATGTGATTGATAAATTGGGGCTGTTTATAATCCTTTCATATTTAAAAAATTTTATTTTTCAATTACAGTTGACATACAATATTATATTATATTCCAGGTTATACAACATAGTGATTAGATATTTATATAACTTACAAAGTGGCCACCCCGGTAAGTCTAGTAATCAGGGTATGTGTCAAAGAGAAGTCTGTATAATGGACCAAAGCTTAGAACTGTCTTGGAACTAAACTTTAACAACTAAAAATAATAATTTTTATGTATAAAGTATTATATAATTTATCTCACACACACACACACACCCTCATTTGGTAGACCAGGTAGCTTTCCCTATGTTACACACACACCCTCATTGGTAGACCAGGTAGCTTTCCCTGTGTTACACACACACCCTCATTGGTAGACCAGGTAGCTTTCCCTATGTTATGGATGAGGAAACTAAGGCCTGGCAGGGCTAACTTTGTGTTCAAGTCCTGTGTCAAACCTGGGCCCTATATTGAGTTCTGCTTCCAAAACCAGTTTACCTTCGCTTCCCTATTCACAATAAAACAAAAGGTATGAGATTGAGAACTGCTGGGTCATAATGTAGATAAAACAAGAGGTGTTGATCATCCTCACACTCTGCACAACTGAGGTGGAATGGACAGTCCACCTCTTGAATCCGAGACCTCAGCTGCAATGTGCTGGGCTGTGCTACTCTGGAATCTTCTTGAGGAAAGAAGCTGTACACCTCTATCAACATACGTGTAGCTATATAAACCTGTGGCAGGGGCAGAAATCACAAAACCTAAGCTCTGTCCATCTTTATTAAACTGAGAGCATTTTAAAGGCGTATACCATGCACCCAGTATCAATCTCGAAACCTAAGTTGGGTATAAATGTCTAAGTTATTCCCACAGATAAATTCAGGGCACCCCACGCACCCAAATCAACCTTCTTTGAGTAATAAATAACATTTTAATGTTTTGGCCTATTGTTATTTTACCGATTACAACTTTATATGCTTCTATAATAACCATAAAACAGGCACTTATTACTAACACTAGTCTATGAAGCACAGCTTAACATCTTGATTCTATCAGCATAATAAGCAAACTTCGTGTGTGTGTGTGTGTGTGTGTGTGTGTGTGTGTGTGTTCGTATGTACTTATATAATCATGGGTAAAGAATTGGAAGGATTCACACAGATTGTTAAAACTGGTTTGGGGACAGGAAGGGCAGTGGTTATGGGTAGGGGGTGATTAGCCAGTAGAGAAACAGAGGGGAAGAGAGAGGGAGAGGAAAGAAATAGACAACACTTTTTTTAAAATGGTGTGCACAGCAAAAACAGTGTGATTGACACAATTTTATTTATATAATACTATTGTACATTTTTATGTGAACATGTGCATCCAAAATGCATAAAGTTATGATCAACAAAATGTTAGTATTTGGATGATGTTTATTTTCATGCTTATGAAATTCTTGAATTTTGCACAGTGAGAATTTAATATTTATATAATCAGATAAAAATAATAGTTATTTGGTATTCTTGGACATTTAAAGATCTAGATTGACACTGACATTCCTGATGATTTTTTTTTTAATGCTGTCATTGTTTTGTTCTTTGTTTTGTTTTATTTGGGATGTGTGTGTTGTGTTTTTACCTAAGCATCGATGAAGAAGGTAAAATCTCTCCGTGATCCTTCTGCCAAAATGTCGAAATCAGACCCGGACAGACTGGCCACCGTCAGTATAACAGACAGCCCAGAGGAGATAGTGCAGAAGTTCCGCAAGGCGGTGACAGACTTCACCTCGGAGGTCACCTATGACCCGGCCCACCGCGAGGGTGTCTCCAACCTGGTGGCCATCCACTCCGCCGTGACAGGGCTCCCCGTGGAGGAAGTGGTCCGCCAGAGTGCCGGCCTCGACACTGCTCACTACAAGCTGCTGGTGGCAGATGCTGTGATTGAGAAATTCGCTCCAATTAAGAGTGAAATTGAAAAACTGAAGATGGACAAGGACCACTTAGAGAAGGTTTTACAAATGGGCTCAGCAAGAGCCAAGGAATTAGCATATCCTGTGTGCCAGGAGGTGAAGAAGCTGGTGGGGTTTCTATAGGAAGTTTCAACTGATCACAGAAAGGCTCTTCTGTTTTGTGGTCTGTGCACTCCGAGAAAGGCAGCTTTCCTCCTGGACAAGCAGAAAATTGTAGTTTGGGGGCTATTTAATTTGGTGTACTTGATATTGGCTTCATTTGATGAAGAATGTTTTGTGGCCTGCAAATAGAGCAGTATTCTAAATCCCATCAGCAAAATGCTGTGGCCAGGAAAGAAAAAAGCAAAGAAGGCATAGCTTTCTGAGTCCTCAATATTTGAGGCACACACTCCCCAGCCTGATTTACATACACAGATGTGACTGAGGTGACTGGTAATTTGGCAAAAGCGGGGTATCATCTGTGTCTTTCTCAAGTGCTATCATAGGCAGTCACTTTATCTGTCCCAACCCTTTTACAGTAATAGGGAGAGGTCTCAGACTTACAATCCTTGGGATGCCATTGGGACCAACTTGTATTCAAATCTCATAAAAATAAGTTGATTAATATAGTTCATTTGTCACTGAGATGGTGCCTGATTTAAAGCATTTAAGCTGTTTGTTTCCCAAGAGATTATACTGATTGTTTTGGCAAGTTTTTTTTGTGTGTTTTTGTTTTTAATTCAGAGATGCATATAAAGGCTGTGTTATTTCAACTTGATATATTTATTGTTCAAGAACCCAGACCCTAGATGATGTTCCTAGTAGGTACTTCCAACCCCCTGTGAAAGACATAGGAGAGGAATTGCCATTTTACATAGAGGGGAGGGAGACACAGAGGACACAGTTGGCTCAAACAGTATCTCTCAGGAAGTGAGAGGCAAATCCAAAATGAAAACCTTTGCTCCTTACATGAGCCTCCAACCTTTTGAAGGTGGGTCCTGGAAATATAAGACCTGAACTACCAGACTGTTTCTATCAGTAACTCAACCAATGCCGGCTTTAAATCTGGTTTCTACCAGACTTGGTCACATTTGCTCCTCTAGTCCCGAGGCAGGTCCCCTGTACTTATTGCAGAGGCACTTCCAGGTAGACCCTGCCAGACGACAACAGCTGGGAGGCCGGAGCAGTGTGAGTGGAAACCTCCCATGTCCTTCTACCTCGTCTCTCTAAGTAATAACAAGTCACTCTGAAACCTGCACTCCCATTTCCCACCCCTGAAAATGGGAAGGGTAATCCTGACTTGCCAGGGTCTGTTAGCAAGATTGATTTTGTAACAGAAATTGCTTATCATTTTTTGCCAATGAGTATAATGATCGTCATTTATACACAAAAGACTAGTATGTTGGGCAAAGACTTTTTACTCATGTTTCTTAAGAGAGGAATGTAAAAAGGTCCTTGTATTAACAGATATAAATCACAAAACACCGCATCCCAGAATCCAAAGTAAAAGACCCCTTTTTGGATCCTTTCTTGGAATGGGGTACCAATGGTCCTAGAGGAGTCTCTTTGGGCATATTTCTTCCAAGGCTGTTTTATTTTTCCTTTCAGATGAACCCTATTATGAATACTGGAAAAATACATTAAAGGTGGATCTATCAAACCAATGGTCTCTTTGCTCGTCTCTCTGTGTGTTTCTTTACCCCCTGCAACACCTTTTGTCCACAGAACTACAGGAGCCATGGAAGGAATCTCAGAGGAGAGAAACCAGACGACTTGGGATGACTTCCGAGGAGCAAAACCCTGCACAGGTGAGGTCAGCTTGTGAGCATCCTGCTGTTGTTACTCTTTGAAAGTGACCAAGGGCTCAAGTCCAAAGTCAGCCTGTAGTGACTGAGACATGCCCAATAATGTTGGAAAATGGGCTAGAGATTCCTAATAAAGTGTGGGGTTTGTTGGTTGGTTTGATGCACACCATGCAGATGTTGATCATGAAACAGATACCATTGAGCTCTCACTATGTGTCAGCCATTACACTAAACATCTTATAACTGTTTCCCCGAGTTACAGAGTGAAAATGATAAAAAAAATAAAAATAAAAATAAAAAGGCGGGGGGAGACAGACAGAAAATAGTAGAGAGTCAAAACAAAAATTATGTTTTTATGACTGGTTATTGATTTTCTTCTCTCTATTCTAAACTCCTTTTTCCGAGGTCCCCAGAGCAGCAGCATGAGTCCCACCTGGGGACTCATTCAGAATGCACATTCTCTGGCCCTCACTTACTGAATCAAAACTTTGGGGATGCACATAGCAACCTCTGTTTTAGCAGCCTTCTGGGTGATTCTGATGCATGCGAAACTTTGCGAACCACTGTATTCTCTTATTTATGTGTATTCTCTCGTTTCCTCCTAACCCAATAAAGCGATACTGATATATTACACATTGAAACCAAGGCATAGGCAGTTGAGTAGGTTGCCTAAGACAATTCAGTCTCTGAGAGGTAGAATCAGGTCATCCAATCCAGAGCCCACTGGGCCACAGCAGCTCCTGCACTGTGTCTTCTGGTGTGTTTGGTGTAGTGTGCTCTAAGGTGCCCTGTCCAATATAGTATGTGCCCATTTAAATTTAAATTGTGACTAAATAAGTAATTCACATCCACAGCAACAACTTCAAGGGCCCAGTATCCTCCGTGGCTGATGGCTAGTGACTTGGGTAGTGCAGCTTCATCCTCACCTGAGAATTTATTAGATATACAAATCCACAGACACACACACACACACACACACACACACACACACACACCCAGACTTACTGCATGGCAATTTCTGGGGGTGGCTCAGCAATTCGTTCACCTTTCAGCTAATCAGATGCACATTAGTGTTTGAGAACCACTGTGCTGGGGGATAAAAAGAGAATAAAACCCAGCCTCTCTCAAGGAGTTTAGAATAAAGGGAGAGAAGAAAATCAATAACCAGTCATAAAAACATAATTATTGTCTTGACTTTCTGCTATTTCCTGTCTGTCTCCTCCCCGCCCCCATTTTTTTTTATCATAGTCACTCAATATAGCTTTGACTGTTTTTATTTATATATGATTATTATTTATAGACAGTTTAAAATTTTAGGTCATTTGGGCCTATGAAAATCCTAAAAGGGGAAATGACTGAACTTACATTTGTAAATGGAGTAAACAGAGATTTGATCATCAATATCAGAGTTAACGAGGATCTCCTGAAGCCAAGAGGGATGAATAAGAAGAGGGAGTTCTTTTACACCGTGGGTAGTAAAATTATAGTACTTACTACCCTGTAAAGGGTTATATGACCTAGAAATAAAAACAGCTGAGCATGGGTTGATTAAATTTATGAGTGAAACAGTCACAACTGCATTAAGCACAAGTTAGGAATGTTCAAATTATGTCTGAAAGTGTCTGATGTTGATATCATAGGAACTACCACCTTTTCTGTCACTGCCCTCATTCTCATAATCTTCCGTGTTCAGAACTCTAGACCAGAGGAGACCAGTGTGGCCCCCAACCGTTATCTTTCATAACTTTCTAACCTTTCTCTAATTTAACATATTAAGTGTTTGGTAAATTCTAACCATATTTCACCTTCATAAACCTGTGTAAAGCATAAGAATTGTTATCCCCAATTTACTGTGGTGGGCTGGAAAGGAGCCTGCCTGAGAATAGAGACTCTTGTACTTCGTGTGTTTTGTTAAAAACCTGTACACTTTGGATTTAATGGGCAATAAAGGTAGAGAAAATAAGGGATGCAATGGATGCCATTCTTTTAAAGAATTTGTTGTGATTTCTGATTAAAGTCGGTGTGCCATTAATCTTATTAACAAGAGACAACCCAGATAATTGAAATAATCCAAAACTTAAATAAAATATTATTATTACTATACACAGTGAACTGATCTTATGTCTTTGGCATAGGAGCTAAACACTTTGGATGGTGCTAACATATAAAAGCATTAGCACATCCCAAACTAGCCAGACTTGAGACTCAGGAACTCTAGACTTTGTGATATTGAAGAAGCAGCAGTTAGTATTGCCCATCTTCCCCAGAGCTGTGTGAATCTCTAGAAGAAAGGGTTTAATTTCCCCACCTACTGTTAGAAACACAAAGTCATTTTGTATGTCTGCCATTTGCTGCTAGATACGATTTTAGCTCTGGCTTATATGTTGTGTTGTTTTCTTAAATCTTGCAATATCTTTAAACTGCCTTCCAGTTTGGTAAAATACAACCACTTTATTTCCTTCCTGCCCTCCTTTATCCCTTTAAGGAGACTTCATCCATCTTCTATCCCAAAATACTGTCAGTCAGGATTTCTATTCCAAATAATTTGGAGTCAAAAGCATTCAACAGTCTGGAGGCAAGTGAGCTTTTTATTGCGTTTTTATTGAGAGTAAATTGAACTGTGTGGGCAGGCGAGAGAGGGGCTCCTCTGTGAGGCCCAGCATGCCCCACCGCTGCACCCCAGCAAGGACTCGTGTTACAAGAATGACATCACCGGGATCTGCTTATATTGGCTGACCAGGCCCAATAGACCCCTGGGCGCAGCCAGGCAGGTTAACTCCTTCTTGATCTTCATGAACTTTCCACAAGAGAGCTTACGTGGCGCCCAACTATTTGGTTTTTCATAACTTTCTAATCTTTTCCGAATTTAATATATAAAGTGTTTGGTAAGTTCTAACCATATTTCTTCTTCACAAACCTGTATGAAGCATAAGAATTGTTATCCCCATTTCACAGATAAGTTTTCCCTGAGTACTTTGGCACCAGCTAATCTGTTTATTGCACTTGAAGTTTGCACCATATATGTACTTGTTGGGGATTTTATTATTGTTTTTGTTTTATAAATTACTCATTGTCTGGAGCAAAGACTGAGCACAGAGTAGATGCTAAATACATGCTTATTGGTTGAAAATCACCTAAGAGAGAGAGTTGGGGGATTGCAAATTCATATGGCTTCACGAGACAGATAACTTTATAATTTAATGAAATAACTTAACAAATATGACTTCAGTGCTTACTACGTGCTGGGTGCTGCTCTAGACACTGGGGATACAGCGGTGAAAAAATAGACAAAAATGCCTGCCCTCTTTGAATTAACATTGTAGTAGAGAGACAGACAATTAAAACAACACGGAAAGTAAATGGTTGGTCACCAGGTGATGAAAGTTACGTAGAAATTCAAAGAACATGGGGATAGTGTGTTAGGGACTGAATTGTGCTTCCACTCCCAAAATTCATATGTTGAAGCCTCAACCCTCAATATCTGAGAATATAACTATGTTGGTGACCTTGTTCAAAGCAGTTTGGGTAGATGATGGGGTCAGAAGTCTAACTGAATCTATTTAAGAGTAAATGGAAGAAGAGAAATTAAAGACAGTGACCTTGACTAGTCTGGCAAGGAGTAATGCTCTAAAGAGAAGCAGAGAAATGGGACAGTATGGTAGTAACATAGAGTCACAAGAGGGTTTTGTTTCTTTTTAAGTTGGGAAAAATAATTGCATATTTCTGTGCTGATGGGAATGATCCACTAGAGAGGGAAAGTTTAATGATACAAGAGTGAGAGAGAACAATTACTGATGCATATCTTTGAGGAAGTAAGGAAGAATGGGATCCAGAGCACATGTGAAGAGGTTGGAGTTAGATGGGAGACCAGAGAAGACACAGAAGAAGAATATATGGACACGGGCACAGATGGATTTTTACATGTGGTAGAATAGCAAGTAAAAGGTCTCTGTTGCTTCTGTTTTCTTAGTGAAATAGGATGAGGGAAGATGTGTTGGAGGTCTGAGGAGTGAGGAGGAGGAGGTGTGAAATAGTCATCTAGGGAAATGGAGAGGGAACGACCAGGGACATGCAGTAGAACAGCCAGGCAGCATTTAAGGGCTCTCTTGAGGCTAGAAAACATGAATTTACGAGAGCAGCCAACCAGTTGATTGTTTTGCTCCAGCCACATTCCACTGTGTGGGTGTAGGCAGAGCGTAAGCAAAGTTGGATTAGCCTAGAGCTGGATTTTGCTAAGTGATTACAACAAAAGGGCAAAGGGGCAAAGGAACTAAGTGCGTATAACAATGAGCCACCGCCTCCCAATGGGGCAAGGGGGAATGAGGATGTGAGGGGCATGGAGACAAGGAACTGATGGTAAAATCAATTGACTGAAGGTCCCAGTGGTGTCAAAAAAATGAGGGAGATGAAAACACAGATGTTGGTCTGAGTCTGTATTCAAGATACAGGCATGCAACTCTTGGTATTGACAAAATTGGAGGTATGGCTTGAGGAATGGTTGTTGAAATAGGTGGAATATATGATCTCTAGGAGAGAAGGTCAAAAAGACTAGGGCATTATAAAGGCCATTTTCTTCAATGTGCAACCACAAAGACTTTGCCCAGAGTAGCAATGGAGACAGAGTAAACTAGGAAGAAAATTTTCAAAAAATGAAGGGGAGTCTTGCTGGTGTGGCTCAATTGATTGAGCTTCGTCCCATGTACCAGGAGGTCCTGGTTCAATTCCTGGCCAGGGCACATGCCCAGGTTGCAGGATCAATCTCCGGTCGGGTGCGTGCGGGAGGCAGCTAATCAATTTTTTTCTCTGACACCAATGTTTCTCTCCCTCTCTCTTCTTCTCTCTGAAATCAATTATA